AAAAATATTATAATACTATTCATAGTAAAACAAGAGTTGTTGTTGAACAAGCATTTGGTAGATTAAAGGCCAGATTTTCCTTTTTGAAATATATGAGATTAAAAGATACAATAAAAGGAACAGATATAATTGATATCGCTTTAATTTTACACAATTTTGTAGAAAAAAACAATGATGAGTGGGAGGAAGATGATAATAGTTATAATGATGAAATTAATGATTCTGAATTAATTTATGAATTAGAAGAAGATGAGGATTTAATAAGCAGAAATAATGCAATAATTAAACGGCAAAACTTATTAGAACTTATTTGTATAGATATGTAAAACTTTTTTAATTTTAATATTTTAGATTATTGCATTACTTATTCTTTTTGTTTGCTATCGCTCATCCCATGGTTAAGAGCTGCCTTTTATCCATCTAGTTCTTAAATGTGTCTAAAAAAAAGTAAGTAATCACATACTAATAGATTTAAAGATAGGGATAAACTGCCAGTTCATTCTAGGACTGGGCCAGTTCTATCTTTTTTGGGATAGACTGAAAAGACTGTCGGCTCTGATAAAATTATAATCTGATTCTGCAATTTTGTGATATTTGATCTAGTTAGCATAAAATTAGTGTATCGAACGTACTGTATATAGCCTAATTTTTTGTGATTTTGTTGGGTTTAGATTATGAGTATTATTATAATATACAGTACAAGTGTAAGTAGGGTACCATACAACTTTGAGTTCAGATAAGACTAAAATTTATAATAAATATTTTTATAAAAATTTTCAGAAAATCAAGTTATACGAATTATAATCAGCACGAATAAGAAATTAATAATAGATACGTAGATTATTTCAAATTATTTGATTAATAATAATATTGACTGAATCAGTTTAAATAAAAGATTGTTTATCGATTAAAAACACCGGAATTAGATAAGTCACTCTTTACTTCTTATTAGATTTAGCTTGACAATAAATTAGTAAAATTAATAAGAAGTGAAGAAATTAATTAAATAATTGACTTTATAAGAAATAGCAGATAATTTATAATGGAATAACTTAAGAAGCGGCAAAAAAATTTTTTAACATATTTTATACTATACTTACAGACAAATTTAATATAAATATATAAAATGGCTTATTATCTACTATTATGATTACCGATTAAAATAAGTACTATTTATTTTTGCAACTGCAAGAATAATAGGTAAACTTCTTATTAGATGAGGGCCTGAAGGGCCCTAAAATATACAGGCACGCAGTGGAAAATAAGAGTGGTAATTTTTCATTTTGTATATCATGACAGGAACCCCAACGCATTTAGTGTCACTACCAAAATCATGTACGTTGAAAAAGTGGGAACTATGGGGTTTGACACTAAAATTAATTAACTATTATTTGCAGGTTGAAAGGAGGCATGGAAAGACTTGGCCCGAGTCTCAAGATCTTTTGGGCCTTGCTGCGGCATATTTGGCGGTATAGCCTTGGCTTGTGCTTCTACTAGGAGATTATAAGCTTCAGTTTGAAGCTAAAAGCAATGCTTCTTCCTAGTACCGGGACTTTATTATTCTATTTCAATCATAAAAATTCTTAATGATCATCACGTGAGTCATGGGTAGTACCCTAGCCATGGCAAAAAAAATTCTCAAATCACGTGCTATAGATCAATTTTTATGGATTTCTATTGGATGCCATATCAATAACCCTAGATAGTCTAGTTCTTATAAATAAAATTTTTAAAAAATTTGAGCGAAGATATCTTCACAACCAACCGACCAAACTCATTGATTTTTTTTTTTTTAATTCTGAAAACCTG